GAAGTTGGAAGAGTGATTTGAAACTTGAGAAGCTGGCTCACCTACTACCACTGAAAATGACCCAAGAGAAGTGGCACCTAACTCAAACGAAAAGTCACCTTTCTTGCATCTACGCCACATCCAATAGTACAACACCAACCACTAATATTACTACTTCAAAAAACGTTTATAAAACCACACTAATTCCTCCACGTCATGCTATATGTCACTCATAAATCAGCACTTCATATTTTGCTGCTAACTTACAAACTATACTATTATACTTCTTCATGTAATATACTATTGCCTCTTGTTACAAAAATATGTGATAAAAATAGAGATTAAATATATCAAAAATTATATGAAATTGGTTATAATTAAATGATAAAATTATTTGCATAAAATTATAAAAAATTATAAAATTGCATACTTTTGTTTTAAAATCTCTGACTTTTTTGTATGAAGGTTCAAATCTCTTACCTAAGCTTACATCCAAGTGAAGTGCGAACAAAGGGACTTACTCGTACGGATTGACATAGCGTTTTATTCAACGCTAAACCTAATATTTCATCTACTCAAATTGGTCCATTACTTGCCAAGGAAAAGAACACTTTTAAAAATAGAAAGAAAACAAAAGAAAACAAAAGAGCACGAGACAGTGCGAATGGATTTTATTAGCCATTTCAACGCATGCATGTTGCATTTTCAATGACATGTATTGCTACCAACTTCTCAGGATATGCGTGTTTTGCCATGGACTTGAGCTTTTCAACTCATTTTATCACAATTTCGTTTTTCATATCTCTAAAGCTCATTAATGTTAGAGTTTTTAATATTAAACTTTAAAATAAAATTGATTTACTAATATAACCTTATTAATATATTTGTGTAAATAAAATACAAATAATTTTTTATGTCAATATTGGAGTCCACGTTCCAAACATAAAATTTAACTTTACTCATGTTGGCAAATTCATATATATAAATACATATTAAGTTTCGTATGCTATTAATTAATTACAAATTTTCTTAAATATTTTTTTAAAAATATTATAAAAGTTTAATAATTTTTAATTATATAACAGTCAATAATTATATTATACTGTAAAAAAAGTTTATAATATTTATGTACTTAGAGAGAAAGAGTTGAAAGTAAATTTAAGGTGTGTCGCATTTTAGCTAACTAAAAATTTTATTTAACAAAATATAATTCTAGTTGGTAAGATAGCTTAAATAAATTGTTATTAATTTTTCTGTCGTATTATTCTAACTAACATTTTTTAAGAGGTTACTTTTTAGTTACTAGTTAAAAGTAATTTTTTAATTTTTGTCTTTATTTTTTTTTAATAATTCTTTCTTTCACCCCTATAAATTTTAAAATCTCAATGACTTTAGTTGTTTATGTTGAACATTTCTAAATCACTTTTTTTTTTAATTTTATTGAAATATAACTAAATTATTAAATATTATTTTTGATATAAAATTCTCATTAAGTTATATTATCTTATTTTATTTAATAAAAATATTTTAAAATGAGAGTTAAATAGAAATTTATAATTATTTAAAAATTTATAATTTATAAATTTTAAATTTTAGTCTAAAAATTAATTATGTCTTTCTCTATCATTTTACATTTATAAATTAATTTAATTACTAATTTTATCAAACACTTTCGATCCAATCAGCTAATTTTGTTAACTTTCAACGCTACTTTTGTCTATCAAATTAACGATAAAAAAAATAATCACAAACTTTAAATTGTGTCACTGTTTCTCTCTCATTCGCTATAACTTAAATATAAATTTTTAAAGTAGTCAATGTGCCACAATTCAGCCTTAATTTTTAATTAACTTTTCTGAATTGAGTCATATTCGATGAACTGACACCCATTTAATCCATTAAAAGACGTTGGATAATCTTCAAAATTTCAATCCAATTTAATTTTAATCCAGTTTAATGTAATTCAAAATCTTACTGGTAAATGAAGACTAGTCCACATTGAATATTAAGTGATTATTTTAACACTACTTGAATTATTAAACTAGTTAGAGTATTTTTATGGCTTTTGGATTTAACAAAACTTAGACCAGAACATCTTGTTAAATTGATTGATTCAAATTTAAAAATTTTTAGAAAACTTTTTGTCTACTCTTATGCTTAAAAGAACTAAGGATTTCCACTACTCAAGGCCCAAAACCCAAAGCCCAGAGGCTTATAAAGCAAAATAGCCCAAGGATTGAGAGCTATATCATTAAACGAACCTACCTGTTCGGCCTGATTCTGAAATTTTAAGTGAACCAATATTTTGCTGGCCACGATCAATAATTAAAATTAAGAAGATTAAAATCACACATACATTAAAATATATATAGACTAAAAGTGCAATTAAATAATAATAAGTAGTTAAATTTTTACTATAGGTTTTAAAATTATATATCTATTGATTTATTTAAAGACTTTAATCACCTGACTTACGTATAAATTTCCACCACTATACTAATGTGTGTTAATTTTTTTTGTTTGAGATTTTAAATGATCACACTGAGTCATTTAATAATTATAGAATGTCGTGCTAACTCAAAATTTTAAAATAAAATGAATTAGGTTACTTGTACAATCGTTCGTGACTAATTTGAATTTAAGTTGTTAATTTCATCACACGGATTTACCAAATCGAGAAAAAGGAAAAATAAAGGAAACATTACTTTGAAATGCAATCGTAGGTTTTGAAACTCTTTAATTGTAATTTATCGATAAAGTTTTGAAAGATCTACAAATAACTCATCAACAACAGACAACAAAAGAAAGAGAAAAAAAAGTAATTTGGCAAAAGAACTCTTTCTCAATGGCCAACAACATCTCACACCATTCCCTTCTCTTTGTCACCCTACTTCTAATCGCAGCAAGTAAGTAGATCTTGATTTGCATTGTGATGTTATTTAAATTACCCTTAAATACAATTTTTTTATTACAGGTGGGAGCATAATGGTAGTACTAGGGGAAAGAGAAACGATATGCTTAGAAACATTGGGTTTATGTAGTCAAATTGGGAATTGCGACCAAAAGTGCAGAGCAAGGTACATTGGCGGGCAAGGGACCTGCGACAACTTTAACCTTTGCACCTGCTATTACTTCTGTCTTTCTCCTCCAAGCCCACCCAAAACCAAAATTTGCTATAATGGGCTTGGACCCTGCACTTCTCAGTGCAGAGATGACCCGCTGTAATGCAAAATGTGGTACCCATTTCGATCAGGGTACAGGATTTTGTAGCATAGTTGTTAACATGTGTACTTGCCAATATGTATGCTCCTGATGGCTGATCCCATACATTCATTAGTTTGATTGTATCTCTACCACAAAGTAATCAAACTACCAAAATGTTTAAAATGAAAAATAGTTATCTGGTTGTTCCTGTATTGATCACCAATTTCAATTCAATATATATCTTTAGAATACAAGTAAATATTAATTAAGCACTTGACAAAAGTTATGAAGTAGAATAATTCTTATTAGAGTTATTCCTGAAATAATTTGATTCCTACTCTTTAACAAAATTTTATGGAATACTTAGAATAAAATTGCACATACATTATTTTTATTATGCCCAAAATGGAACTAAAAAATTTAAGGTAAAAAATCATTAATATACTCACAATGATAAAAGAAAAAATCCTTCAAAGTACAATTCATAATACGACCCCTTACTCTACCTGATTCCCCAAAAGAGAACAAATGCAGCAACAAGAAGCAATAAAGGAATTCCGAACGTAACAAATTGGGGAGCAAAAAATATAAGGAAAATGAAAATGAAAATGGGAAGCAACAATTCCACTGATAAACCAATCGATGGAGCATGACTAACATCAACTTCACCTTGATTCGTTTGATCAAATTCAGTGGTAATCTGCAACAAAATTATAAATGTCCCCGTGAAACCATATTTAAGTAGTTAAATTAAAGTAGCATTAGATTAAAAGATATATTTTGATATAATATCATTGCATTTAGTCTCACCTTGTTAGGAGCTTTAACCTCGCAGATTACTAATGCTGTTACCATGAAGAAGGCTAGAAATAGAATCCCAACTGTGTTTTTTGCAAAAGCCATGGTGTTGCCCTATCAAACAAGAAACCTGATAGAATATGGAGCATTCAGTGAAATTGCTAACCTCTCTTATTAATAGTGTAAATCCTACTCTTTTTACATTTCTTCAAAATGTAACGTAGTTACCATTTTTTGGTTATTTGTGTTAGATTCTAACGTGTTACTTTTTATATATATAGATTATGTTCGATTTAAAATTATGAAACCTTCCAAGTAGTTTTTTTGAGTAAAACATGGTTGAGATTTGTTTTTCGTTAGGAGTCTAGGATTTTAATTAGGTTGGAACAAATATCTCTATCTATCTATATATATAAATGATTTTCTCTAAAAATATCACATGGTACTAAATTAATATCAAGTAAATACTAAATAAATAATTTAATATTTTTTAGTAAGTTTTAATTTTTTTTATTAAATACATACTTAACATAAATAAAACATATTTCGTATTACTAATAATAGATAGATTATAAATAATTAATAATATAAAATAATCTACATAAATTATTAAAGATCTTTGACTAAAAGTGTCGTATGTTTTTTTTTTCAAATTCTTTTAATTTATTATTTCATATTTTTTAATGATCTTTTCATTTATTTCATATATGTTTCCTAAAATTTTTATTTTTAATTAATAGAGAGAGAAGGGAAGGGGAGAAACCTTTTTTCATAAGTATAAATTTTAATAATTAAATCTTAAAATGAAAATTAAAATTCCAAAATTTCACATAAATTTAAAAATTGATCATACAACGTTAATTAATTTTTAATCTTGATCATAAATAATTATACTATCCAAATTTTCTTTTCCATTTCTCATGTAAATTAAATTTCTCATTAAATACATCCCACAAGACAGTAGAATCTAGTATATTAAAAATGAATTGGTGAAGGAAACGAGAGAAAAATCAAAGTTAAAATTTTAATGGAGGATTCCCTTTCCGTTAAAGAGAGCTAGCATAATCCAAACAAAAATTGAAGCCACATTCACCAAGAAAAATATATATTCACTGTAAGAGAAAGCCAACTTGCAATAACATAAAAGAAACATTGCACAACCATCCACAACCCAGACGTGTGGGTGTACAAATATTAGACCAAGCTAAGCAAATTTTCAATCTCTCCTCAAGGAAGGGTTCTCCTGCACAGCTTCTTACACAATCAGATGACACTTACAATGGCATCAACATATGCATAGTACAGGCAACAAGCCAGATTATAAATTAAACCATGTAAACATGGTCATCACTTCTCTGCACTATTACTCGTGACCTTGACTCATATACATCATAACCATACAAGATCCCAGAAAGAGAAATGAAGATAGTCATAAAAATATACAAGATCACATTCATATTTATTAATTAGGCAGCCAAAACAGGAACCCGTTTGTGTCCTGTAAAATGCTGCCGAAGCATGTTATAGCTATTTCTATAGTGGTCGAGTGAGAAACATAGCTGCCTTATGACCTCACGTTTCTCTTCTGCTCCTTCTAAAATCTCAGTTTTTTGTCTCTTAACTTCTTCTTCGAGTTGCTTAGTTTTTGATTTTAGTTCTTCCACTTGTCTATGTGCCTCTTCCATTCCAGCAATCAGTTGTACATGTTCCATGTGCAGCTGGTTCAAATGGGAGTTCAAGTGTTCAATTTTACCACCTCTGGAGTTCACTTCTTCCTTGAGTGAACCAACTTCTACATGAAGATTATCTCTCTCTAGTTTTAAAGTATCAAGACTTATGTTGAGATCTTTTATGTTGTTCTCTCTCTGCTCAATTTCTGCTTTTAATAGCTGAATCTCACCCTTGAGTGCCTCCTCCATCTCTATTTTTTCAGACTGGATCTTTCTGATCTCCTCTTCAAACAATCGGCCACGAGATTCCCAGTCTCTGACCTGCTCTTCTAAATGAATCCGTTCCTCCAACACCTTAGACATTTCAGACTTCATCTGAGCTTTCTCTGGGAAGATTTTTTGCTCGGCATCAGATACTGCTGTTTTCAAATCCCTGATCTCATGATCACGGTCTAATAGACTAGTCTTTAACCTTGCTAGTCTTTCTTGGAGTTTGGTGCTCTCCCTTTTTTCACTGTTGAATTTGTTTTTCCAAGTTGTAATGTCTTTCCGAGCCAAGTCAAGTTGATCCTGCAGCTGCTGTATTCTTTCAGATGATTTACTGGCCTCAAATTTCAGTGAAGCAATTTGTGCTTCTGAAGCTTTAAGATTTTCTTTGGTAATCATTAGCTCCCTCCCAGGTGACTCAATCTTGCCATTTTGCTCATACAATTCTTTATCCACGCTATCAATGCTTTCTTGAACCTCTGACGCATTGAGTTCCAAGGCTTCCGCTCCTGTCTTGATGTGTTCTTCAGTTGATGATAGCTCAAAACCAGCCTCTAAATTTTCTGAATCCAAGGATCTGTATTTTTGAAGTTCAATCTTCAGTTTAGTAATTTCTTCTTCTGAAAGTCTTAACTTCTCATTCACAATCGTCAGTTCTTGATCATATGAATTAATTTTGTTATAAACATCTTCAGTATTCTCATTTCTTGTCCCCCTAGATGAGACCTCTGCATGTTCCTCTTCTTGCATCCATAGCTTTTCTTTTACCTCACGGAGCTCAGTTTCCAACTCCATTATTCTTCTGTTCATCCCCAGATCACTGCCATTCCCTAAGAAACCTGAATAATTGTTAACTGACGAATCATCAGATTCCTCCTCAGAATCTGTCAAAGAAGAAGACTCATCTCCATCCTTTTGGCATACATCAGAACCATTTCCACCAGAGCCAAGAAAGAAATCAAACCCGGCAGCTCGGTTACTGGATTTGTGACGGCCCCCCCTTTTCGGAGTTGGAGAGGGCCCAGCGGAGGATGGTTCAGAGCCAGCGTCTGAACCTTGAGATTGGAGATCTGATGGTATATTCTTCCTCAATTCTCCTGTCACGTGATCATAACGTTCAGCCAGAGCCCGGTAACGACGGTAGAACTCCTCAACCAGAGCAACCAATTCTGGCCTTTTCTGATAATACATTTCAGCTTTTTTGGCAAATGAATCTGCATCCTCTTCTATCAGCTTCAGCATTCGTTTCACATCCCGGTCCATCTCTGAGGTTAAATATCATTTTGTCATTTCTTTGGACAACATTACCGTGAAAAATGATAATGGCATTACTGTGAGATTTAAACATTTAAAGAGTAGGATAGGAACACCTCCCCCACCCCAATGCGAGGAATTATCATCCAGTATGTCAAGGAAAGGAGAAAAAAATGCCAATGTTACATTGATATTAGTTACGTTACTTTTTTAACTTGCCCTTGTTTAGGCTAAAGGAAAAAATATCATAACCTTGATGATCTAAAAGCCCATACCCTTGATAACAAATGGTTATTTTCCTTGTTTAGCCTGTGGAACAAAGACTGCAATCTTGGTGGTTTAAAAGCTAACCTTGTGTAGCATACGACAGAATTCTTTGAATAACCTTTCAGCTTGTTAAAGGGTGCATCGATGGAGCGAATAAAGGGAATATAGGAAAAGCTCGAGTTTGTTTTTGTTGCATAGTTGATGAAAGCGGTAGAGAGCAAAATGGTCTACTAAAGATAATTAGCATTCCAATGACCAAAAGAAATGATGATGACGATGACTATCTTACAGGAGAATTTGGCTCCTCTCAAGTGTGGACTGCACTTTAGAGTAAGAGACTGGACTTACAACCATTGACTAGAAAATCAATAGCTGATACTATAAATATGATAAAAATAGATGCATAGGATTTACAAGCTATGAAATCGTTCAAGTTTTTTACATTTATTTTCATTTACTTTTACAAGTATCAATAGCCTCACACAATAATTTGGACATATTTATACCAATCTCAGTTTCCTTAAGCACGAACAGAAACATATTTGTTTGGCACTCTATTTGCTTTCATTTTCTACAATTTGATATTGTATTACAAAAGAATAAAAGAAAGAAAACAAATACAGTAACAAACATATAAGACCATTGCATTTGCAGTTTCCTACCTTCAAGATTTTCTGAAAGCCACTTAGAATTCTTGGGACTGATGTGACTATCCCACCACCAAGAGTGAGACTTTCTTGATTCCAACCTCCTCATTTGCTTGGTAATACGAACCTGAAATAAGAAAATAACCACAATTATCATGTGTGAGATTAACAAAGATTCTACTGAATTATGCATATAAATAAGTATATAACCCATAACTCATAAAAGTTCCACAACACTTACCCCAGAAGCTGCCATTTGCGACAGCAAGTGCTAGCTAGCTGGTGAAACTCTGGTATTAACAATGAACCTAAAAAAAGGAAAGTGAAAAGAAGAAAATCAGTATTCAAAAGATGAATAACTAGTTAGCGTAACGCCTGAAGATAGCTTAAAAAGATGACAACAAAATATTTAATATGATAGTTCTAGGATATGAATGCTGCAATTTTCCCCCACAACATCACCAATTGGGCCCCACCTATGTGGGCCTGCACTTTAACACGACCGGCCCAAAGCGAAAATACTGAGACAAACAGTAAAATGGGACCGTCGAACGAAGAAACTAGAAGAACCGCATGAGTAATGACCATGAGTAGCGCGCGGACAAATTTAAAACCAAAAATGAATAGATAAATAAATAAATAAATAGGCATAGATTTTGACAATTTTAATTTTTATCTTATCTCTGTTCCTGAATATCGTGGACAACTGGCTGTGCCTGAGGTACAGCTATCTCCACGCGTCGTACCTCACAAAAACGTGGTAGTTGCATATGCCATTGCACACACAAAAATATCTCTCTCTCTTAATTTTTTTAAAAAAAGGTCACAAAGAAAATAATTTAATATTCATTCATTACTATTATTATACTATTTTTTCAGTAATTCGATTTCTCCGACGAGTACAAAGAAAACAAAGAATCGAAGATGTAGTAGACTGGTAGTTGCGGTAGATAACGATGAATAAAGACAAATTGGAGAAGCCTCCACCTCCACAACCGAGATTTCACTTCATTCATACACACATGGATACTATCTCAATCCCTTCCTCACCACTCAAATCAATACAAACATAATTGAATTTTGCACATAATAAAAATAATAACAGAAAGGAGTTAAAGGGAATTAAACATATATGAATCGAAAGAGCTTACTTTGAGAGTGAGAGAAGGACGTGTTTGGACGCAGTGGCGGAAGCTGAGAGAAAAAGCAACGGATCTGAGAAAAAAGAGATAGAGGAAGAAAATGGGAATGGAATATGGAGATGTTTGAAGTGTTGATAAGAAGGTAGTGGAGACTGAAAGGAAAACAAAGTCCTTCTATTTAATGTCCATTAAGCTCCCACTCTTCTCACCTGTCCCTTTTTTTTAATTCTCTTCCCTTTTGTCAAACCCTTCTCACTTGTTACGCTCAGGTTTATTATTTATTTATTTTATACTTAAACAAAAGATAGAATCTTATTAAGATACTCTTTCAAATATATTTTTTTAACGGTTAAATTTATTAAAAATTATAAAAATATTAATTTAAAGGCAAAAAAATATGTTATTAATATTTGTTAATAAATAAATAAAGGTGTTATTAACGAGTACTTGAGTTGTTAAAACTTAACTGAGTTTCAAATTTGAATTCTAATAAATGTAATAATATTAAATACTTTGAAGAAGAATTTTATTGTTTATAGTAGGTTTATTTAATTCAAATAAATAAATAAATAAACATAACAGTAAATTGTTTAAATTTAATTTATTAAAATATTTAGATTATATTGTTTATTTAATTAATCAACAAATGCAAAATTTAAATTAAATTTAATTATTTAAATAAATTAAATTTGAATTTTAAAAATTAATATTAATAGTTTATAAAAAATTCACATAAGAATCTTATATTTAAATAATTACATATTTATTTATTATACTCGTTTAAAATTTATTGTCATATATAAATTTATATTTTAAATAAATAATATTAATTTTTTATTAAAAATATACTAGTTTTATAAAAATATATGTTAGTATTATTTTATCTTTCATTATAAAAATAATTAATAAATATTAAATTAATAAAAATAGTAAAAAATTATTAGAAAATATAAATAAAATAATAAATAAAACAAATTTTAAAATTTTTAATCACACTAAAGTTAAACTTTAAATTTAATTTATTTAAATAAATTACTAGAACTTGAAGATATTTTGTTCTAAAAGACCAAACTTTGCTCTCTTATTTAAACATATCAATTACTTCTTAAATATGAAATTCACACTCACAATTCCATTCTGTGTTGATTATTATGTATTGCTTTTCATAATATTCCAATTGTCATTCACATGGCCGCGTTGGAAGTTTGAATTAATTAATTTAAGGAACAAAATATGTTAAAAATATCACAAATATAAATTTAATATTAAAATAAAGTTATTTTATAGCCATTCAATCGTGAATTCAACGTGCAAGTGTGATGTTGCCGTCCATTTCGGCTTTTTTCTATTTAATTTTTCTAAACTCACTCATGGATGGGGGCAAAATAGACTTTCCACTTATTTTCACTTCTTGGAAGTTGGAATTGGTAACCCATCTTTTTCTTTCTTCCCGATTCAAAGAAAACCTGCTAAATGAAATTTGGTATCATTAAATACTCTGTTTGCATTATATAAAATCAAATATGAAGTAAAAATAATATGTTTTGTTTAGACGGATAATTTTTTAAAAATCATTTATTTAAATGAGTCAAAAAATAAATTATATTAAAAGTTATTTAATAAAATTGACAACTAATCGAAAGTGTGACAGGAAAGTTAAATGAATTGACACGCATAGGCTTTAAATAGAACCAAAGAAGGAGCGCATGCGAGGGACCGTCGTATTTTTCAATTTTGAAACAAAGCATTATGATTAAGAACGGATGCAACGTGTCCTATATTTATTGAATATTTTCAAAAAGTATTCATAATCAATAGAATATTTTCAAACCTATTTATCTACACTAATTTATAATATATCTATATATATAATCAAATTTCTAAATAAATAATTTATTATAACTTTTAGTATTTTAATATTTAAATGAATGATTCGATTTATAATTTTATATTTTATTGAATAATTTTAATTTTTTTACGTTGTAATAATGTTTATACTTTATTAATTGATAAACAAATTTAAAAATGTATATTTCAGTTTACAAATGATAAATAAAAATATGAGTGCAGGTATAGGAATTTGACTATCTAACAAATATGGAGATTAATATATGAAGAAAAATATAATTTTTTTAAATACATATATAACAACGGTTACTATACTATCATGTACAAACTATATTCATTGTTATTTATAATAATTAATTGTGAATTTTTTTTTCAACTATTAATTGCGACATGAATTTAAGTTAAGAGAAAAAAAATAGTAAAGGTAAACAGTGTACATACCAAGGAAAAACAAGTGCCAGCGGTTGATTTGATTACCGTATGTGTAGGGTTTTTATCATTAGGAAAATTCATAAATTATTTTAATTTTAAATTGTAAAAAAAATTCAAAATGAAAATCAATAAAGTAAACATTCAATAAATTAAAAAAATAATCAACTTTTCATTATATTAAAATACATTTTAAATCTAATTTTAAAAATTAATTAAATCATATATATACCACTCATCTTTAAATAAGTAAATATTTCTCCTAGCACCTTATTGAGTTAGGTAGTTTGAAATTCGTTTGTTTATGTTTTCATCCTTTTTATTATATAACGTTTTAGTTTTACGGTAAAATTATATTTTTGTACTCTAATTTATTTACTTATTATTTTAATCTCTTAATTTTAAAAAAAATTAATTTTCTAACTTTTAATTGCCTCTCAAATTATATTTTTTATTAATTCTATTAATTTTTTTTATCTTTACTTATCATTTTACTTTTCATCTTCTTTCCTGATTTATCTTCTTCCACACCATGAAAAAATACGTTAGAAAGTAATTTTGTGTTGTCTTAAAAAAATACAAATATTCTAACAAATATTGTTATGCAATAGCTTTCTAAAGTGACATTAAAGTGTATAATTATTGTGCAAGGAAATATTTGAGAACAGTTATATTATTTCACTCTAAAAATTATCATTTTAAAAAGTCTGAAATAATATAATGCTCTTTGTTATATTCTTAATTTATCTTTCTTTATGTTTGTTTCTTGTTTATTTTTGTTCTAATATTGTCTTCCTACTAAGATAAACTCAAATAATAGAATGAATGAACAAATAAATACTCCAATAAGCACACATTTTAAAAAGTCTAAAATGATGTAGAGTTCTTTATTATATTTTTAGTTTATCGTTCTTTATGTTTTTTTTTTTTTTTACTTCTCTTTCTAATCTTGTCTTCTTACAAAAATGAACTCAAATAATAAAATAAAAGAACAAATAAATACTCCTATAAGCAAACATTGATATTTATATTTTTGCTCACTTAAACAACAATTTCAAAGTGCCTTTCAACTTAATTATGATATACAACAACTTATCAAGGTAAGATTCAATTTTCATCCAGTTATATGTATACTCAAGAGGCTCCTTATAGAAGTCATAACCCAATAACTTAATAGTTATTGGAGCTTGGGAAGGGGTTGTTGAAATCAAGGTGATATTAGGAGAGATTTTACATGGAAGAAGTGATTCAAAAGGATGGTAGTGCGAGACAACCTCAAAGACAGAAGAAAGTAAGAAATTTTGTTCAAGGGATTTAGATTTTAGGAAATAGTAGGTGCCAATATTTTAGAGTTTTAATCAGATAAGTACGATGAATTGGAATGCATCTTTGTAACAGTCATTGATAAGGTCTTGACTAATGAACAAAATGACAAGTCGAAGGAGAGGGAAAAAAAAGATGAACTAAGAATGTAATGTAAAAGAAAATTAACAATGTTAAAAATAGATAAAAACAAAATAGTTAATGAAATCAATTGAAAAAATTTATTTAAAATATATTTAAAAGTTTAAGGATTAAAATTGAAAATTTTAAAAGTCAAAGAACTATAAAAAAAACAAAAATAGAATTTTATCTTATTTTATATTAAAGAATAAGTTTTTGTAAATAAATAACGAAAAACAATGAGCTACTTCTAACAAGATAAGAAGTGAAAAGTTCAATCATACAAAACGAGTTATTTGTATAGTTGAATTAATGCATCAATGCGTAAATGTAATTTTAAAAAAATAGTAATTTTTTTTACATTGTATGTATATTATTAAATTAATATTTAGATATAAATTGTGAGTCTTAATATTTAAATGATAATATTTTTTATTATTAATCACGTAAATCAATTAATTAAAAAATATTTTAACTTAACTAAAGAATATAATATTTTTATAGACTAAAATATTATTTAAACTTTTTTTCATATTGTAATCAGTTAACCTTTTTGACATAATCAATCATATAAGTGCATATATATGAATATTTTCTTTCGGAACTGAAGTAGTTGATTGGCGTTTTTTATAATCAATTAGATACATTTTAATTTAATTAAACAAATATAGAAGACGATAATCAAATAACTCATCTCTGATTTTAAATTATTAATATTTGTATTCAAGTATTTAATTAATACGCTAAACAATAGGTAATTCCTTATATAAGCTCTGCACCCAGGTTAGTACTTTAGCAAGCAAAGAATCACTCAGGTGCTTTTATATAATTGATTAGCTCCTTGCAAATAAATTTTTATGTTTTTTTGATAAAATCAGCCTAATTGATTAATTTGCAACTTTCACTCATAACATTTAAATTTTTATTGCACGAAACTTGCTTCTTCTTCTTTTTCTTTTATCTGACATCATTTTTATTCATACATATTCATATTTAAAACATTTTTTAAGGCTTTTCATAATTAGAGATTTAAACATTTAAAAACATAACATTGAACCCTAATTCTATATTTACATTGAGCTCGTCATACATATTTTTTTTATTATATTTAGAACTTCAACTTGTAGATTTTTTTTCAAAGTTTCTTCTCATTTTATCTCTATACTTTATTGGTCAGGAGAGAGTGAGGCATCCCTTAAATGAAGAGTTTCTTTTATTTGCAGATATCTCAAAAATTATATACACATGTTGACCTTTGCTTTTAAAAATAGTTATCAGTCATAACTCATGAGTGAGTTATTGGTCAAATTAAGATAAATAAATTTTATATTTTTCTAAATTAAACTATTTTATTTTCCAACAATTTATTTATCATAGTTTGCTTTTGGTTGATTCTAAAGTTTATTGCACCACTCTTGCCAATTAGTCATTCATCATTTTTAAAGTCATGAGACAATTCA